TGCCAAAATTATAATACACAACACATTACTTGAGATTAAATGTTTTATTAAACCAAAATCATGTTAATCATGTTATTACAATACAAGATACAAAATATGAACTTCAAATACTCATAAACATTTAATTTGACTTTCCAGTAGAGATTTTTTTTTTTTGATAAAATTAGGCATACTTATGAAGAATCTTATATTAAATTTTCAAATCTTAGATTCAAAAAGAAAAATTTTTATGAATTTCTAACTTAAAATAATTTGCTAATTTTCGTGTTTTTCTGTATTTTGTTAAGATTTGAACTTTAAATGGTTATAAAAAAAAACTGTGACTAAAGATTTTTAATATTTTTCAACCACTATTACAACAAAATATAAGAAGCATCGTATTTTAAAGCTTTTTTACCCAAGAAATAAAGTTTTATTGGCATTAAAAAAAAAAAACCTAAAAAATTTGGAAACTAAGTAGGTATATCCGTAAACAGCTCAAAACAAGTCAAAATATTTTGAAAATTGTGTCAAATATACACAACCAGTGAAAATTTAATGTATCTATACGGACATTTTTTTTAGAATTACACCAAAAACCGAAATCGATTTTGACCAAAATCGGGATTTCTGTTTTTTCCTTAATTTTTCATTTGTTTTTCACGGCTCTTTTGAAAACTACTGGGAAATTTTTACTTTTGACCCCCCGATGTACCATATAGGTTCACTTTCCTATCATAAAAGATACTGTTGAAGAAAATCTAAGCATTTTTACTATCTTAAAACGTGATGACAGACACAAAAAAATAAAAAATAAAAACACACATCATTGTAAAATCAATACATTCATCGGGGCGCTCAAAATCTAAAAAAAGTATTTGAATACATATTCATATTATTACATTTATTCAAATACTTAACAATTTTACAAGACTGAACTGCAGTYTGCTAGTATAAAACGTTATTTTCTATTGGGAATAATAAAAATCTAGCCCGTCTGACTAGCAGCGCTCGGCGGTTGTATTCTTACAAATTTAATCAATTATTGATAAAATAAAAAAAAAATAATCATAATATTTTAAATAATAATCGTCAAATTATAACGAGTAACGACTATAATTAATTGTGTGTATACAGTCTATGGGGGGGATTGATCCCCTTGATCCCCACCCCCGTAAATACGCCACTTTTCAATAATTGAAAACAATTGTGAATCGACWTACATTTATATTAATAAATATAATTGGCAAAAAATTGCAAAACTTAAAACAATAGATCATTCACTCGTACAACACAATAATTTTTTTTTGACCTTGTTATATATACATTAAATCATTAAAAAATATAGACAGATTATATGAAAATACATAATATAAAATAAGTATAAATAGAATACATATTATACATTTGTATGAATTGAATAATAAACATAAATTACATACCGATTAAAACTCTCCCTTTACTTGTCACCGTAGAAATCATGATCATAAGATTAATTATTAATATTAAAAAAATTTAAGAAAGTGTGGAACTAAACAGTATGTCTGTGAAGATAGCTTGAA